CTGGAGTTGATGAGTAAACAGGCTCCCAAACTCTCTGTGAAACTCCAAAAGCAGAATTTCCAGCGGTGACTCTTAACTATGTCGTATCAGAAAATTGATGGATCAGGAGGCGAAATGTACCTTTGGCCGTGCCCGCAGGCATAAAACTTTTGAAAAATATTTAAGTCCATTTTCTGGCAATCTGAGGCATACTGTGCCCATATCTTACATATCTGATGAACTATCTTCAAACAGCTAGACTCAACTCCACAAGTTCATGATATTCAAACAATTTGTCATCCTACTCCGTGCCCCACAAGAAAAACATGTTTTGGGCCAGAATCTTTGCACGATATAGACAGACACCTGCGTCTTTAGTATATACTTACGAAGAAAATAAATTAAATACCAGGGTGTAGCCATGCAGTAAAACAATAAATCCCCCCCTTACCTGAATACAAGCATGCTTGAATATGGCGTGCCAGTGGTCAATTAGTTGTGACGAAAACAAATAAACGGCCGGGCTATTATCGAAGGAATATGGTACTGTAGTAGTTAATATATATATATATATATATATATATATACACACATGTATATGATCAGATTAGATACAGATTTAGGTAGGAATACAAATCACTGCCAGACAGCAGACAGCAAGACAGGTCCTCAATGCTTGAGGCTATTATATTGTCATAGTACTGTATACTGAGACTGGAATTTACAACTGACACAGACCCCCTCCCCCCACCAATGAAGGTTAACTATTTACTATATCCACCCATTGCACACCCTGTTTGCTTAAGATTGCTGCAACTTACCTGCAAGCCTATGGTAGGCAGCTGTCGGCCGAACTGAGCTGCCTTGTCACGGTAAATAGCCTCTGTGTTGTTGACTGGGTCTTTCTGTGATCAGCAAAAGGTCGATTTAAAAAAATACCACACGTAACAGCGTATCACAGGATCGATCAGCTGATCACGAGAAGGCTGGGTCAACAATCAATGGGTTGTGTTATGGGATATGTAGCGTATTACCACGTTATAAAATGCATACAAGTATCCCAAACAGAACCAATACACATGACAACACCAGTTTTATATACACACCATGTTATTTCATGAGTGTTTCATAATTTTATCTGAAAGGTGTTGTAAAAGTTTTCATAATAATGCTATAACATTTTGGATTATTGAGATAATAATACAAATTATTATTGCAGATAAACTTTCAGCCCTTGAAAAACGCTCACAGACAACAAACTTACAACGATGACATCTGCATCAACCATGGTCACATGGCATAAAACCACCAGGTTGACAACCGTGAACACGTAGAGAACCGTTATATGACATGGCATTCTTCTGTAAGGAAACATGACTCCAGCCTTCCCCGTCTACGATACGGAAGCTGCAAAAAAAGCGTTTCCACAATGTCACTCGACATATGATTTAAGATTTATCTATTACAACTGCTATTACTAAAACTTGCCATAATATGGTCACAAATCACAATCACAATTACTACTAAGATTTGTAATAGCATTACAACTTCTTGCATCGTTTTGACCAGGTAACAACTTTATCTCAGTCACCTACTGCTTCATCGGGGGTTACCATCTAACTTTTGACAGACCTGCTACAAGCACCGCCAGGATCCATCAACCTACACACTGTTCATTACTAATTTTCTAATGCTGTAACACAATGAGAAGGTCTGAGTGTGCTCTAGACTGACCTGCACTTGACAGCTCCACTCGCAAGCCAACCTCATCACAGTGCTACATTAAGCCCGGCGCACACATGACAAATTTTACTCGGCAAAATGATGCATCAGGAAGCTACAAATTTTTTTCCCACTTGCCCGGTCAGGCAAGTGGGTTATGAAACTGGTTGACCAGAGGCAAAGGTCACTGGCCCGAAAAACAAAGAAATACATAAGATTTTTTCCCAATATGAATTTAAACGGTAAATAACGTAAATGAAGGTCCAACTAGTCAACATCCAGCATTTCACTTAACGGCACGGTAGAAAGTTGAACAGCTGATACGAGTTTGTATACAAAATATATTCATGTTATGACACAGCACGCAGTTTGTTTTAATTTTTAATTTTTTCAAGTGTCAGTTTATTATCAAAAACCCACCAGACTCTCACAATAAATTAATAAAATATGTTCAAGTTTATTATTTGGGGCTGGATCGTAAGCGCAGAGAAAATAGCGGTGCATATGCATGCAGATACAGTGTATAATAGACTGACAGCACAGTATACAGTGTATCTGTTGTTGTGTACTTCAGCAAAGATAATCCTCGTTTACAGGCTGCAGTAGAGGGGCAAACATTTGAGGTAGCTGATCACGTAACGAAACGAGTATAAAGTCTGCGATCAGTGATGTCTCGCGATATTCTATCGGAAGACAATTGCTGGATTTTTGGCACCGATGTATGAATGCTTATACGTCGTTAGTGAGCGCGATGTTTAAAGATAGGGAGAAAGAGGGAGCAAGCATATCCACAGTAAAAGAAACAATAAAACTCGTTCACATTTGGACAGGACGACGAACTATCGGTATCCGCGCATTTTGTACAGTGCCGACAGGTAGTCGCTGACATTGAGCGCCATGTAGTGAGTTAGAGCCTTGAGTATCTTTTCTACCTCACAGGTGTGGCGACGGACAGCAGAAAATATTTCACTTGAGCTATTTTTGACCTGCATCATCTGTGACCCCAGTAAAATTACCACTCAAGTGTGGCAGCTCCGGGCCTTTATGTAGCACTTACAGCAATGCAAGAAGAGCAGCCACCGCATCACAGCATCACTCCTTGGGCATGTCTTTGAATCACACATTTGGGCGCAGCCGAGGATAGACTTACGTTACCACCTTGAAAGTGGGAGTTAATGCAATTAACCGCGCGCCGGGATTGAATAAGCGTTTGCATTTTACTTGAATTACACTGTACTTTTTTAAAATAGTGATCACCAGGACTAGGTTGGGACTACCACAATGCTTCTCGTTGCCCATATGTGCCTAAACTAATCGTATGGGTGCTAACTAGGGCTTGGCTCTAAATAGCTTCGTTAGCTCACCTTATTTACTATTGACTCCGTGTATCGTTTGTATACTAGCGATACAACATGAACGAGTATCAATGCATATTAGGGGCTGCTGGTCATAATGTTGTTAGTCTTACATCAACATTAGCCTGTATACTACTAGGTACTATAGTACTAGCCAATCGACTCGTAGAGTATGGCATGATATATGGCATTACTTTAAAGCGCCTTTACAAGTTACACCTATTGTCGAGTATTGATCCAAAGTACACGAACTAGTACTAATAAAGCTGATGTGCGTATGTGGTCTACGACCCTCATGTCTGTAGGACACTGACTACTGCTGGTCCTGACCACCGCCACATTAGGCGTTTCAATAAAAGTATAATGCATAGATAGAAATCTATTTACTACTACCAAAGTCCTTAAAGGGAGAGTTTACTCTAGGTTCTAGGGTTATTTTCAGCTAATTTAGGTTATAATTAACGCTGACATGAAGGAAGTTTCATGTTCAATCACATTAGAAATATTTAAAAAAAATGTTCTTAAGAAGCGCAAACGACTACAGTTTGAATTACAACGACGGGGCACCACTCAAAGCGCAGCGATCTCGATAAGTTCGCGCAATAACCACTTTCCAGCCAAAAGGGCTACAGACCGATGGGTGGTTTCTTCATTTATTCATTTGAAAACAAAAGGATTGTAAATTTGTCTTTGTAATGAGTCTTGGATAAACGGACACTATAGTTTTCAGTTATAAATATCGGATAAATTTTCCCTAAGAATGAATACGTTCCGGTTAAATAGCATTATAATAATAAATTATAATTGCAACTTTTGTGATTAGTGCTCGGCGGGTCGTAATCGTGCAAAATAAAGTTGTCAAATACGGCAACCTTTTTCGGGGGTGGCAGCACGGGTCGCGGGTTGTCAATGGGCCGGTTCAATTTCGTAGCAATGAAGTGTAATTAATTATAAACAATTAAGATTAGGTAGTGCTGGTGACAAATAATGTGGCGTATAGGACCATATTGTTATAGACAGTAAAATACAAGTTGTATGGCAAGTAAAATCCTAGAGGCTACTGTCCTGTTAATGTTTCTCTACTACTTCACCTATTAGTTGCCGACGAATTTCCTGTAAATGCCGTCGCAAATGCTCTCTGCAACACACGCTGGCTGTCGCCCGCTAGGGCTGCTGCACACTGACACACGTTAAAGTCATTAGCAGGGTAGGAAAAGCGGTGCTGCGAATTGGCTCCCCTGAAGAGTACTCCGACACAAAGGTAACGCCGGTGATTTCACACAAAATCAACAAATATTCCAACCCATTCTACCTCGCATCTTTGTTCTCATTTGAAGGACCAGGTGTTCAGCTTGTTATAAAAACATACGTTTGATAATAGTTTTGTAAATGGCTGTCCGGCAATCGGAAAACACTCACGGCGCTCTTCATGACCTCATTTTTGGTGCCGGCATTATTCAAAGCGGGCCCACTCGCATCTGCTTTTGACGAGGCTCGTACGGCGAGTTGGAAAGGGGCAGCGTGGTAGTTTCCCAAAAATGCAGTGCGCCACCTATATCCTTGTACTCGCAGCCATTTGACATAAACTGTGCAAGACGGGAGCCGAACGGCGAGACATTTCGTCAGCCTTTGTTGTGATTGGTCGCGTGACACAGCCGGTTACACAACACAGACAAGTATGTTTTTATAACAAGTGAACACTGTCCTTCAAATAGAAACAAGATGGAGTACGATAGTTTGGATATTTGCTGTTGTATTCGTGTGAATTTAAACGAGCGCGCGAGGCGAATTTGTTGGAGCACGCTCTCGCACCTGCTATGAATATTCTATGTGTCAGTGTCGCAGCCCGCTACGATGCGGGCCCAGCGCAGCGTGTGTTGCAGATGAGCATTTTGGACAAAATTTACAGGAAATTTTCCGGCCAATCAATAGTTGAAGAGAGTAGAGAAACATTTAAAGGCATATATGGCCCATTGGATTATACAAAAGTTCGACGGAATGCTAAAGGTAACTGCAACCGGGTTGCCGTAAGTTATAAGTACAGTTACTTATAGAGCTCAAGCCGGTATTAGTTTGTCCAAAGTAATCGCACGCTAATCGTTTGACTAAGGAAATTCTAATTGAAAATCGTGAAATCTGGTAATCCGTGCGCCAACCGGCTGAAAATTTGGGTTACGCACGCCGCCAAGCAAAATAGGAGCCTCGGAATTCGGTTAGGACGCAGACGTCAGACCGTCTGCTACGGGTGTTTTAGCAGCACAGCAACTGTTTGTCGGCGGGAATGGCTTACTATATCTAATCGATGTTACCGACTAATGAGCTGTAGAATGTATCTCTGGGTGTATTCTCTGGTGAATTTGAGGCACAAGAATTAATCGTGCCAGCGGTGCTAAGAACGGTACGCGACATGTCTTGTCAATTTCAGTACAGCAGGTTATTCGTGTTGACCAATATAGAGCGTAGTACGGAGATGGAGACGAACCCTTGCCCGGGCTCCTGAAAAATCTAACACCTCCTGTTCGCTTGTTGACATACCTGCAGCTGTGCGCTCTGAGGCAGGGTGAGGACGGTAGGCCTCCTCTCACTGTGCGGTTTCTTCCCTGTCTGTGGAACGCCCACGAGGAAAAGCTCTCTCGTAGCTGTCACGTCAACTGGTCCTCCTGGTGTCGGTGGTCCTCCGCTGTGTATTGTGTAACACACAAGGCCAGCTGATTCAATGCATTCCATGCTCGCAACTCAGTTCACAAGTTAGCATTGGCGCACCGTAGTGCCGTCTGCTTTC